CCCGTGAAATTTTCTGGCTGGAATTTGGGTAACTCGGGAACTGAGAAAGCTGGGAAACTGGGATTTCAAGTGAATGTTCCCTGTCCAAGTAACTTCCCGAAATTCGAAGACCAGTATGCAAAATGGGTTTCTAGTTGACTTTCGAGTGATCTTATTATAACACGAAACACTGCAAAAACGCATGATCACATGGGCCCGCCCAGTGCGCGTTGCGAATGATTTTATTCCTATAGCACTACTTGCCCGAAATGTTACTAACGAACTCTCAAATACAGCTGCTCTATGTTGAGACGGATTGCGAACTGGGCAGCTGAGCATGGGAAGGGAGGAACCATGAAATGACTGAAGAGTAATTTTGAAAATAGACAAGGGTTTGTTTGCGCGAAAAGGTCAGAGTGAAAAATTTTCCGCACAATTCACTGTCACTAAAGATGGAAGACAGTTCGTTGCTAGAACATTTGTTTGTTTTTCTGCTGTTCAACCTGTTTTTTACAGGTAGGAGTGGATTACTTAGAAAAGCTTTGGAAACCGGATACATTCTTTCCAAACGAAAAGAAGTCGTTCTTTCATACAGCGACCACGCATAATTCGTTTCTAAGAATCGACCCGGATGGTACCGTCTTCACCTCACAAAGGTCACTCGTTTTTCAAATTCATTATTAAAGCACCTGCATAGTAGAAAACAGCATGATCAGGTCGGCGTTATTATCGCATCTGATGTTAATGCTATTTTTGGCCTTGACAGCACTAACATTTTCTTAAAATTGCTTCATAGAGACATTTGGTCGTGCTAAGACCCCCCAGACAGCCGAAAATGTAGCACACTGGAAGGCGGCTCGAGACTGTTTATAATATTCGAAAACCCTCGACAGCATCTGTGCAAACATCACGAATATTTTTCCGAGTTGCTTGGGGCAAAAGTTTTGCTGATGAAAGGATGAAGGATGAATGAATCAGGCGAGGGAAAGAGAACTGAGAAAGAAAGAGGACGTCCGCATAGAGAAGTGGATGAAGAAAAGATGTGAACATCATGCTAAACGAGGCTCGTCATGGCCTTTTAAGACAAAAAAACTCCTATTTCCCGCAACTAGTTGATCTTTTAAGCATTGGTATTTGCTGAACCGGGCTGACGCTTGAACGAAACTGGCAATCTCAGACAACGAGTGATGCTCAGTCATATACTCACACCACAAAACACTGCAAATAATTGAGAAGCTCACTTTACCTATCGCTTCATTGATTTTATATTGCTTCAAAACTTTCAAAAAATTTGTTGTTGATTGGTTACTACTTTTTAATTTGACTGAAGCAGTTTCTGCCAAAATCAGGCGCGTATTCATAAAAATTTATGTGCTTTCACCAAAATACTTTAGGTATGAGAATGTTCTAAACACCACGATCTAGATCAGATTTCAGAAAGTACATCTTAGATTTATGACTCTGGCTAAAAACTGCTGGTATTTTCGGGGTCTTTTTATTAGCAAAATCTTTTTTTAAATTAATAAATTCATAATTTATGCATGTTGGGCTGAAATCTTAAGTAAATCATGAAATGTTATTCAGCAGACTAAAATGCCGGATTTAAAACACATGACCATCATAAACTTTTAAAAAAATTTAAGACTATTAAGAAAATTCTGCATGACAGTGGGTTCTTTATAATCAACAGTGAATTCAGACTGACGGTAACAGCAACGTGCCCAATGAAACTACAACTTTTCCCAATGGATTCACAAAGATGCAAACTGGAGATTGAAAGCTGTAAGGTTCTTCATGTTTCTGATTTATAAATTTAACAAAAGAAAACGTCATGCTGATAAAGTTGGCGAGAAATTTCAAAAAATATTTCTTATAAAATTTCGAAATCTACTATACAGTTCATAAATGGTGAGGCAAAGCAAGTAATCGGTGCAGGCATCCTTTTCATGCAGTTCGGCTTACAGAAACCAAATCTGTTCGCATGTCTAAAATGCAGATTCGGATTGGTCGCATATTTTTGATCTCTGTTTGCTTGAATGCTGATAGAAAACGTCATGCTGATAAAGCTGGCGAGAAATTTCAAATTTAACTTAAATTTATAATTTGAAGTCGAGTAGGGGTAGAAGATTAATTTTAAATTTTCAGTAATCCCAGTGTCAGGAATAAGATTGCCAGAAACTCCGGTTTTCTAGGTTTTCTAGGTTAGAAATGGGAAATGCGTTAACAAAAACAAAATGTTTTAGTCCACTACATGCAGATAGAGTTTTCTTAAATTGCAAATTCGCATTTGCACAAGCCCAAAAGTAGACTTTAACTACTATTTTTCAGGGTTGACACTTATATATTTTTGTGTTAATACAAACTGTCGAGAGGCTGTCGATGTGTGTACGCTCGGCTTTTATCTTTCATTTTCAGCGAATTAAAGATTTTAAATTCAGCTTGGGCAAATATCTACACCTTAAGTGTGCGGAAGTGGAAGTTGAAGTTGAAAACTACAAGCGCCCTTTTAACTTTTAAATCAGACTAGGTAGAAATTCCTATCTTTACGATGTCTCCAGCATAATTCGAGCTTTCGGATACCCTATGCATGACATTCTGACACAGTGTGCGAGACTGTGGCATCCGACAGCCGGACGAGCTGGAAGATGAAACTTTATAAGAAACCCTGCGGTAAAAAAAA